CTCGCAGTGACTGTTGATAATTTATTGTAATAGAAAGAAGACACCGCATATTCCTGTCTCCACCAATACAACGAAGCATTTAAAATTTTATTCTTTTAATTCCTTTTAAAAGAAACATTCATTATTAATAAAATTATTTTCTTAATCAGATATCAAGATTCTAATAACCGCACTGATGATGAAGTGAGAATGTCACTATTTCTATTAGTGCTTAAGCATTAAATGCTCCTGATAATGACATACTTTTCTAAATTAAGGCCTGATTGACTGACTTTTAAAGAAGGCCTCAGTATCAGTTAGTAAGTTCGTCCAGGATAGGTCCGGCCGCAGGCCATCCTGTACCCAGTTGGGCAGCTGGCGTTGGATACTAAGTCGGGTGAATCTCCGGTCGACAAGATATATAACAGCATAGTCTTTAGCGTGGCGGATTGCGCGGCCAATCGCTTGGTTCACGGCTCGCAGACAAGAGGCCTCGTAGTGCAACCTGCCAGTGCTAGCTTGCGAGTTGCCGATTCGCTCCCCTAGCATATTGGGGTACTCGCGGTCGAGGAAAGCCATTTTTGCACGCAACTGTCGGAGTGAGTTAAGGAAAAGATATAAAGGAAAAAAATAATGGAATAAGCTAGCAGGATTGTCAGCATCATTCTGAAACAAGGATCGTTTAGAATGGTATTCCTTGCCATCTTTGCGCGTGCCCTTTATGGGCAGAAAAGAACCAGATCGGATTTGGAGATATTTCATCTTTCTCATCACTTTTTTCTTTATTCCTAGTTTTCTTATTCGATTTGGCCTATTCCGACACTAATTCGCCTCGATTTTCATATCTAAGGAAAAGTTGCTTCGAGAGGATTAGTGAATTGACTCCAGAGATAGAAGGATTGTCTCAGAGTGTGGACCACTGAATTGCGCGACGAGGTTTCGGCTCATCCCGCGACCCCGATGGATCTGTGCAGAGCCTCATTCTGTAGTGTGGTGAGAACAAGAAACTATCATTTATTAAAAAACACCAAAACATTAAATCAAGCGGTCACCCTTTTCGTTGTAGTGCATTGGTGCGTATTGACCAAATGAAGGTTCATTGATCTAATTTTTTTAGCATATCGTATACATAAACTCTTACCTGCTTTATTGGGGTTGCAGGACGGTGAACTGAGGACTTCTTTCCAAACTTAATAGTCGACACTCGCTCGGTTTTCAGTGATGCGAATTTACGAACTCATTTGTTTACGTTTTTACATCCTTGATATGCTGCCTGGGAAATTCCTATCGAGTGTAGGGAACATAAGACTTCCTCATTCAGTAGAATATATACAGCCCCAAACGTTATGGCCTTAGAATTTGTTACACCCCTATAATTCAGTTTGAGGTGAGTCAGGCCGAAATTTAAATGATACTGAAAAAATGAACACAAGTAACTCACCAAGAACATTAATTATCCTATCAATTTACCACGGATAAATCAACTACCAACGTTTCATGCTCGATTCATTGTCTGAAGGTATTTGGTTTTACTGATGAAGAATAGGTTGGCTTGTTGAAGGACTGATTCCGTTTCATGGAAAGAAGCAAACTTTTTCCTCATCTACTGGCATTAATGTTTACAATTGCTAAGATTTCTATACTTAATATTTGACTCTAGTAAACATTAAGCATCCACTAGGATTACGCAAGTCCTGTTGTCTATTTATTTTCGTGTACGTTGCATTTGGTTTGAAAGACGAGTAGAAGGTCTCTTTAGAAATCAAGGGATTGCCTTGGAGTAGTGACCATTGGATTGTGTCAAGAAGTTCTTGGCTCATTGGCATGTGGCTTTCATCTGCCATGTAAACATCGTCAAAGCCAGAAAACATTTACGTAACACTAAACCAAGAAAAATCATGCTTGACTCCTACACCTAATTTCTCGATAATACTAAGTTAGCCAATGATCTTAGCCTGGCTACATCCTTATTTTTCATATGTAAGCAGAGTTTCGAAACTACCAGTAAATCAGTAATATGAAATGTATTCTGCCTATTTTGTTTATGATAATGAAGGACTGTTAGTAGAATTTTCCCACAATGCTATGAATAGAGCTGACGTTTCCATTTAATTTCACATAGCATTGATTTCTCAAAAGTTGTTCTCTTTCAGGCTGGACTGCAGTTTTGAACTTGCATAGGCCTTATCAACACCCCCAGCGG